ATTAACATTTTGGTTTAAAACAATATTCGATTTTGACGTAGTGTTTTCAATGTATGTTTCCTCTATAGCTGCAGGATATATTGTTTCTTCTCCTGATAAATTTTTTGCTTCCGATGGGTTTCTTGTTTCCGCTGTAATATCAACAGAAGTTGAATTCGTATCAGTTTTATTTACATCTACGGATGAATGAAGTGGTTGCAAATTTGAATCGTTGTTGTGAAGTTGAGAATTCATGACAGCTTTTTCGATGGCTAAATATTCTTGTAAATCATTCATAGAATTTTTACTATTTACTGTGTAGTTGTCACTTGTGTCAACCTTAAGTATTTTAGGTTGTGTTTCATCGAAACTAAGAGCTTTTTTATTCACTTCTTCTTCTATTTTTATTTCACTGTTTGTTGGATCTGTATTTTTATCTAACATAAAACGATCTTTATTTCCTGCGACCGGTTTACTTTGGGGACTATTGATATCATTATGTTCAAAGTTATTTTTATCAACTGTATTATTTGTGTCATACATTTCTTTTAATTCATGTTTATCGTCATTGTTTGTTTTCTGATTTTCTTTATCACTAACAATAAAGTCATTATCTATGGACCTTTTACCACGTTTTCTACTGTGACCTTCTGATGCTTCAGTCTCTTCTGAATTTATGTTTTCATTAAGCTTCTTGGTAGGAGACCAACTATCAATGAGTTCAATTTTTGCATCAGAGACTAATTCATCATTTCTAAAGGTCTCAGTAACATTTTCTGTGTCATCAAGTTGCAATTTCACACTACTACCTTTGCTATTTTCAGTCTTTGTAGAACGCGGAGTCTCGTTTTCATTTTGTTCTACTATGGTATGCAGAGTTGAACTCGGATTGTTTAATAATAACGACATAGCTTCTTCAGCTGTGTAAGTGACAGCCATGTCTGGAGAACTTTCTACATTTTGGTTAAAATCAAAGGCTTCAAGTTCATTGAATAATTTTGTTGGCGTTTCCGAATCCAAGATTTCATCATGAACTTTATTTTCATTTTCATCTAGAACTACGCTTTCATTTCCTTGCACTTCAGTGTACTTAGGAAAATCATCGTCGTATTGCTCAAATGTGTTATCGTCATTAGCAGGGAGTATTTTCGAATCCGTAGTCTCTTGTAACATTACTTTAGGATCATGAAAAGGAATAGTAAAAGCTTCAGCAGGTTTATAATCTTTTTGAGTTTGATTTAAATCCTTCAAAGCTGTATGTATGCCATATAAATAAGTAGCAGTTCGATTATTTTCAGTAGTTGGTTTAACAATTGGTTCTTCAGCTGTTTTATTTCCATTCATATGTCTATCGGGACCGATATTAGTATCTGCATTGATTTTATTTTCTTCCATCCCCAAGTTGATAGATTTTTGATTATCTTCTAAAGTTATATCATTATGAGTACTTTCTTGTGGTATTTTTTTACCAATATTTGTTGAACTCTCGACATTATTCTCGTTTGTCCAAGGAAAACCTCTCATTCCTGCTTCCGGCGGATTATTAAGTGTAAAGGATTTCAGATGCACTTCTGCCATTAGGGGTCCTGTTATCTGACCAGTATAATTCGTACGTATATTCTCTTTGATATATTTAGGATTCACTTCAGAATTTTGAAGATTTAAAGTATTTTCACTACCATTTTCACTACTGCCAATTTTGTTAGAATAATTGTGTGAATTTACTGTGCCAATATTAGACTCTGGTGTTAAATTATCAATATCTAAAGTGTTAGTAATAGCTTTGTGATAAAATATTCATAATAAAAATTTTAATTTAAAACTTACTTGACTCTGATATACCCCCTAATTGATTTGTATGCGCTAAGAAAGTAAATATAATTAACAGTAAAATTTTATATCAGAGTTATATTTCTTTACTTGTCTCATCGTTCTCCTTAGTTTCATCTAGTTCTATCGAGATAGGTTCGGGCATTGCAATATTAGGATGGTTTGAAGTCTTGACATTATTTTCAAGTTTTTTGTCATCTTCTTTTTCTAAGAAATCTTCTCTAGCGGTTGTGTTGTCTTTTTGTTCATCTGACAAATTTTCTTCTTCGAAGCTTGGGTGATGAACTGCTGCATTTTCCGTTACTTGAATATGATCACGTGTCTCCTTTTCACATTGGTTTTGGTTTTCTAAGCTATTTTCATCAATTAATTTGCTGTTTATGTCATCAACTTGTACTATGGAATGAGTATCCACAGTGTTTTCAGTTTTCATGGAATCGTTGCTTTTCAATGAAATCGGAAGTTCTTCATTTTCTTTTTCAAAACTGCTTAATTCGTCTTCTAAATCAGATTTCATTATTTTTGGTTCTAAATCAGTTTGACAATCAGCCCAATCTCTTAAGAGTTTCAGTTCATTTTCAACATTTAAATCATCATCACGTAATTCTGATTTGTTTTCGGTAAATACACCTTCCGATTGTGCACTTTTATTGGTTTCTTCATTGGTTTTAGCAGTGGTTACCTCTAAAATGTTTGTCTTACTTGCTGGTCTTTGCAATTGTAAATCTTCTGAATCATCAATGCTGATATGTGGACTTATTTTCTTTTCTGAATTATTATTAATATTAACCTCATTAGTAAAGTGATCGTCTTTATAATCCTTTTCTTTAGATGCTATGGTCATTTCTGCTTTTGCCAAAATATCGCTTTCTTCACTTTTATTTCTACGATTTATTTCAGTGTCTATCTGATCAACTTTAAAATCTTCTTCGTCTTGATTTTTATTTTCTTCTTGGTTTCTGTGTACAATAAGTTGTTCAGATTCCGCTGTGTCTTTTCCCACAATATCATTGTTACTTAACTTTATTTCTTCAGTGTCGTTATTGCTTTCCTTAGATTCTGCATCAGTAGAGGTAACTAAATTTTTCGTTATGCTTATCTCAGGTTTCTTGTCTTCAGATTCGAGAATCTCTGTTTTGGTGTATTTCATATCATTTAAATTAATATTTCCCTTAGTATCATAATCGATACTCCTTTTTTTTAAAGTTTTTTGTGCATCTTCAGTATTATTTTCATTTAAGTTTTCTTCAGCAATCACAAGATCACTGAAAGTTTGATCAAAATTTGGATTTTCTGAAATGTCTTCAGTAGTGTTAATTCCATCGGTTACATTCAAGTTTTGGTCTAAGCTTTTATTGTGAGTGCCACATTCTAAACTATTTTCTTTTTTATTTGTTCCTTTCTTGCTCATTTCTTCTTCTTTTAAAACTTTCTTGATCTCACTATTAAGTGAATCTTCTGGAGTTTCATTTTTAATCTCTTTTTCTTGCACATCTTCCGAAGAATTTACTATTTTATTCTCGTTTTCAACAAACTTTTCAAATTCAATATTCGGTTTATCGATTTCATTATTAGTCTGCTCATCTATTTTGTTATTCTTTTTAGTCTTGACTTCTGCGTCTGTATCTTTTTCATTATCTGCAGAAATGGAATCAATTTTTGCGTTTTCAGTGTTAACTTCAATGTTAAAAGACTTATCTTTATCTTCAATTAATATATCAACCAATTCTTTCTCAGTTTCATGTTCGGTTAAACTTGTTTTAAGGGTATCACTTATTTTATCGTTTTGAATTTCATCATCAAGTTTTGTGGGTTTAATTTGGATATAATCGACGTTAACTTCAGAATTTTGATATATGGTTTCATCTGAATTTGATTTATTAAAAACATTTTTATCAATTTCTGAGTTAGCAGAAACTCCATTTAAGTTTCTTTTATCCTGGTTAACAATGTTCGAATCTTCTTGGATTTCATCATCTAATTGTGTGGGTTGAATATTTTTCTGTTTTACGTTATCTACTTCATTAAGAGACCTAACTGCATGTGAATTTGATTCATCCAATATTTTCTTCTCTGTTTCATGTTTGTCAAGAATTGCTTCAGGACAAATTTCTTTTCGTATAACAGTTTCTTTAGAGTCATCAGTCGTTTTTGCTGAATGAACGTCTTCATTTTCCGAACTAGGGATTCCGTATTTTATATCACCCGCACTTATTTGTTCAGAATATTTTTCCTCATTTTGAGGTGTAGGAGTAATTGTTTCTGAGCAATTTTCCTTCGCAGCACCAATTAGTTTATTTTCTCGGAGTTCATTATCTGACGTGGCAGGATCATTGAGGATTTCTTCTGTTTTATCTTCACTATTAAGTGACTTGATATTATCTGTACTTAATTGATGAATATCTTTTTTCTCCATTTTGGGTTCAGAAGACATTACACTTAAAGGATTCTCTGTTTGTTTTTCATCATCTGAGTTATTGTCCCGGAACTTAGCTTTAGCTGTGCTCATGGGTTCAAAGACTTCTTTCTCATTTTTAGAATCTGTAGACATAGGTTCAAAAGAATTTTCTTTTTGGCTATCAATTATTTTATCTTCTCCGATTTCATCATATGGTTTTAAAGAATCACTAGTAGTATGTTTAACAGTATTGTTATTATCCCCAAAGGTCTCTTTATCTGCATTTGATTGAATCAATACTGTTTTCTCAGTTTTAGATTCGATAGCAATGGATTCAAGAGAATTCTTTTTTGATTGTGGTGAGGCAACATTATTATTATTTTTATATCCATGTTCTTGAGGTTTATTGATTTCGTGATTAGTTAAGTCTTCATATATTTTATTCTCTAAATTGCTTTCATCGGTTTTATTATCACCTAAAATTTTATCTTTTTCATTATTGATTTTCAAACTTTCATCCATTTCGTTATTAATGTCAATATCTGCTAACTGAATATTATTTTCAATTAAACGTTTAGAGTTTCCCAATTCAGCAGAAATATTTTCTAAAGAATTACTATCCTTGATATGCTTATGTTCTCCTAATTCATCATCTGTATTTCTAGTATCAATACTACTTGAATCAATATTAGTGTTAAAAAGATCTTCGTCAGTTTGAGACTTAAATTGATCAGAAAGTATGTCTTCAGATTCTATATTTTCAGATTCTATATTTTCAGATTCAACTGTGTTTGAATTATTCGTTAAAGAATGGTCTATTCTTTTATTGTTTAAAGTAGAATCATCAGCAATGGTTCCTGTCTCATTATTTTCATTTTCATGGTTCATCTGATCTGTAAATAAATGATCGAAGATTTCATTTTCATCTTTATTTTCATTCAAAATATCTTGTAACGAACTACCTTTTGGTATTTTAACTTTTAAGTTATTATTTTCATTATCTTGTGCTCTATGAATATCGGGTGTAGTAAGTTCTTCAATGATTGTATGTTCAATGGGCTGATCTCTTGAAGAGTTAATTGCTGGCTGATCAATTTCTAAGCTTTTTTTGAATTTATCCATATCAGCAATATCAGTATTTATTTCGTCTGTTAGGCATTGGTTTTCAGTTTTATTTGAATCTTCAATATTGGCGTTACCATAATTTTTAGATTCTTCCATAGATGCAGACGATTTATTTTCATTTTGTACTTCCATTGCAACTTCATTTTTAGGTTTATTTTTTTTCTCTTCAGATGCCTGTTTGGTTAATTCTTTATCTGTATTTGCTTCTAAGGAATTTCCATTGCTTTTCTCAATGTCAATGTCAATACTTTTTGTTTCAACTTTGTTTCCATTTGACTCTGTTTCAGCATTTTCAATAATTTTATTAGGGTCCGTATAATTTTCTTCCCCAATGATTGTATTGTGCTCACCGTATTCTGCGGAGTCATCTTCAGCCACTATATTTGTATCATCTTTTGGAATATTTTCGGTATAGTTTTCGGTTTTTTCAGAAATTCCTTCTGTTGGATTTGTTTCTTGAAGAAACTTCTTATCCATTTTTTCCTCCGTTTCCATAAATTCATCAGCAGATTTTTCATTACTTCTATTTTGGTTTTCTATGTCGTTGAAAACAGTTTCGTTATTATCTTGATTGGTAATTTTTTTTAATTCCTTTGTTTCCACATTTTTTTTCAATAAATCGATCTCTGGATTAGCTTCTACTTCAACGTTTTCTGAACTTACGTCAGAACTCTCTTTTACATAAAATTTTTCATTACTCATATCGTCTGTGTTATTAGCCCCATCCTGTTCTGAAAGTTCTTTAGATAAATTCTTCATTTTTATAGGAATATATTCCCTATTTTCGGGTTTATTTTCTTGGGTTTGGTTTTCGATTTCGAATTTTTCATCTACCAACATATCATATTGGTTCATATCGTTAGTTGAATCATCCAAAGATTTTTTAATTTTCTCTTCTAGAATATTTTCATCTTGTAATTCAATTAATAAATCTTTTTTATCTTCCGTTGTTTTATCAGTTGTTTTACTTTGATTTTCATTAATTTTTCCTTCGGTGACAGTTTCTATGGATTCATTGTGTAAGTCTTTATTATGTAGTTTATCGATTCCTGAAACATCGTTTTTATCATCAGCTTTATTAGAGATTTCCGAGTGGTGTCCTGGTTTATCACTTTCAGCTGCTTTTTCTGAATCGTTTTCATTTTTAATTAATTTTTCTATACCTTTTAAATCCAAAGTATCGTTTGCATGTAAATTATATTCTTCATCTTGTTTTGTAGTTTCTGTTAGGCTTTCTTCAGTTTCTAATTTATGATCTTTTAATTCGAAATCTTGTTCAATTTGATCGATTTTATCTGTATTATTTTCAGTTTCAGTTGTTTTCATTTCTCCACCATCTAATTCCCCTGTGGTGCTGTTAATGAAACCCTCTTCCGTCATTAAAGATTTTTCTAAGTTTTCGTTATCATTTGCTTTATTATTTTCAATTTTATATTCTTTGTCTATAGTTTCTATTGTTACATCTGGTTTCATATTTGATTCTCTATCTTCTTCATCAGTTGCCTTGGAATCGTTGTTCATCTGCTCATTACTAAGTTGTGGAGTCATTAAAGATTTTTCTAAGTTTTCGTTATCATTTGCTTTATTATTTTCAATTTTATATTCTTTGTCTATAGTTTCTATTGTTACATCTGGTTTCATATTTGATTCTCTATCTTCTTCATCAGTTGCCTTGGAATCGTTGTTCATCTGCTCATTACTAAGTTGTGGAGTTACTGTAGGATTTGTTATTTGTTTTGGTACATCTTTTAAAAATTTCTCATAAATCACTTTATCGTTTTCTTGTAATGATGCTATATCTTTTGTTTGTGATACATTTTTATATGTCAGGGAATCAATAGATTCAATTTCAGTGCTACCAATGACATCTGAAAGTGATTAAAAAATTAAAAAATAATTTGAAGCTTTTTGATATATGAATAGATAATACTGTGAAGTTACCTATTAGAAAAATTTATATAATAATTATAAATGTTGTATATTTTTAATATCTATAAGGATCTATAAGCAATTTAGTATGTAGAGTAGAGTTTATAGCACTCTTAAACATATAGCTGATAATTTAAACTACCTCACCGTCAAAAGCATCATAAACTCTTTGGTTTCATTATATAGAAAAACTTATTGTAAATTTATAAGGATCTATAAGGTATTTAGTATGTAGAGTAGAGTTTATAGCACTCTTAAACATATAGCTAATAATTTAAACTACCTCACCGTCAAAAGCATATTAAACTCTTTGGTTTCATTATAAAGAAAAATTTATTGTAAGTTTCTTTTTTGACGCGTATGATGGAATCAGAGGTATTTAGCTGAAACCACTGATCATACTTTTAAAAATATAAGACTTTTTTTTTGTTTTTTTACAAAAGTAATAATGAATAAGTTAGGTTAGGTTCGGAAGGCACGTCATATACGTCAGCACTTCCATACGGAGACATATATTGCCCATTTTGCTTTTTGTTAACCTTTGTCATCCTTGTTAAACCATTTGGTCTTTCAGATGAACTTAAGGAGATCTGATAAGTTTGCGTTCATTATCTCTGCCAACCCAGTGAAAAAATGATCCCCAAGACATTGACGTCGCCTTGTCTGATGCCTTGGGTGTAGAAGTTGTCTTCATCTTGACAACTCCTGCATAATCGACTTGTTGGAACTAGCCACCGTTGGAGCATAGGCTCAATAGCACAGTGCCCCGTAAGTACTAAAATATCTTTGGATTATATTTCAGAAAGTAATTATATTGCAATATTATCCACATGTAACATGTCTGTTAACACACACATGCGAATTTAATATTATGGGGTCCAATCCATGACACTTCCCCTAAAAACACCTGTTTGATAACATCGTATTGATTTTGGAGTGCTTAAAATTCTTTTATAATTGTTTTCTTAATTTACTACACAATTTAGATATGTTTCTTCTTAAAAACTTAGTTAATTAGGCATTTGCGTTTTAAAAAACTTTACTACGAAATTAATTTTCCTTTGCTTCACCCAAAATTTTTCAATATAAAACGTAACAAGAAATAATATAACAATTCTTACTTTTGTTTTCTAATTCGTTATTTTCGTGGAAACCTTGAGTAATTTTATTTGTTTCTGGAATTTTCCCATCCAAAATATTTGAAACATCGCGTTTATTTCTACTTAAAGTTGCGTTCTGCGAAATATTTGAGTGGTCATTATCCGTTTCCTCGTCCTCGATAATAGTTTCTTGTAGCACCCCCTCTTCGTAATTTGCAATACCCATATCAGAATATTCACCAAGCGACTCTGCCGACATTAGAACGGTGGATGCTGAAGTATATGAGGCGGCTTCAGAAGCATTGTCATTGGTTTCTTCATTATGACATGAAGGTTCTAATTTTAACATATTTACTGTGTTTGTTGGCATTTGTTTCTGAAGTCTATTTTTTTTCAGTAATTTTCTTAATGAACGTTGTATGATAAAAGCCGCGGTTTCCACAGACATTTTATCGTAATGAACCTCATTTGATTTGCTGATGTCACTTGGGTATGCCACATTTCGCACATCACGTCTCATCCTATAGCAACGCTTCAGAAACCTTTGTATGATGTACACTGCTTTCACATATTTTTCACCGTAATGGGTGTCTATCGATTTTTCATTTGTAGTATAAATAGTTGTTGTAATTAGATGTTTATCACTGTGATTATTTTTATCTTCGAAATTTTGCGGAAAGTTAGACACATTTTCATTATATAGAAAATCTTTATTATTGGTTCTAATTGTTCTTCCACAAATGCACTTTCCATTAAGGTATGGCGTAAAGGAAAATCGCTCCTTGTTACCGATATAATTTTCATATTCAGTATATCGAATAGAATTTTGTAATTCATTTAAATTTTGTAAGTTTCGAAAGTACTGTACTGCAAACTCACATAAATTGTTAGGATTTTCTCTGAGTACAGCTTTTATGAAATCTTTAATTAGTTCAGTAAGTCCTTGAGGTATAATTGTGTAGACCAACGAAAGTGGTAATTCTTGACGTGTTCTGGTACCGATTTCCAAAATTGTTACTGGTTCAAAACTCTTTACAATATACTCATTCTTTTTATCCAATTTCGATTCAAAATATTGAGCAGAAAATTCATAAATATTTTCTGGTTTCTCACGTAAAACTTCCCGTGTTAAACTTTTCATTAGATCTCGAAGACCATCTGGAACTCGAGGTAAATTCACAACAGGCATTTTTTAAGCTTAAGTATAGAATTAATATAGTCGAAACAACGTTTAAATCAATACTAAACCTTTTAGTTCTTGCGTAAGTTACAAAACCCAAACGACGACACCAAAGCAATTTGCCGTTTCCAAGCGCTACCGCCGAAAAGAGCCAAAACACAAAATTACCGACTCCTCTTGTTTTTGCTAACATAACGTGGAGCAACAGTCTGTTTAAGGTTAATGGACTTATAAGAAGTAATTCTATTGAGTAGAGTTGTATATAAACAAACAAATAAATGGTGCAGTTCCAGACATTAAAGAACTAGGGTGCTTCAAAGATGGTAATTTGAGTAATATATATTGGTTATTGAGAGACAATTATTGAGAGAAATACACATAATTACTACTTTAAAAAACCGTGAATAAGAGATAACTATAATTACTAGAAACTCTTTTATCCTGAAAATATTGGTTAAATATTTAGGAGATAATAACAATAATCATTCTTCAAATTATATGGGTGTATTACCAGAAACATAGAAATTTTATTATTATTAAATAATAGGTTATGAATGCATCGGAACTTAAAAGATCTATAATACACCTTAATGCGTAACTAAACGAATTCTAGACTATTTACAAATCTCGTAATAGTTGTGGGCTCAATATTATCTATTTGATTGAGGACCAAGAATCCGCTTCCAATGTAGTAAAGTCTATGCTTACCGTAGTAAAGTTGCATAGAACATGTTCTGATGTTTCCTTCTGACATGAGAATATAGAAATATAAATTTATGTAATTATTTTTGATTTTTGATGAAATTTAATACTGACCTAAATACAAATATACCTATGAGGTTTTCCTATTACGAGGTTAGTAAGCACCATCAGTAGCGCAACTGTAGTTGTTGTTAGTATAAATGCCATTAATATGATTAGTATTGAAGACATTGTTGTGCCTTATAGTAGCAATGATATAAAGTATATTAATAAACATCTCTCTATTTCTTATAGCATTGCTACCCGCGACACCCTAGGCAGACATCGCAAATTGTGGTCGTTTTCAGATTTCTACACTATAAGACTTCTATTCAATGGTGTAAGTAAATTTCAAGTCAAAATCTATCCAGTGTGTAGATGATGATTTAACCACTGTATTGTTTAAAATTTGTTATCTTTGCAATTATAACTACAACATATAGATATATGAAAATTTGATACATATATTGGATACATATATATATTTTTATATTTCAACTTAATGTAACTATTAACTATTCAGCTAATCTTGTATTTAATAATATTTTTAAATAAAATTTCATTGTTTCTCAAAACCTTAAATATAGCTATTGATTTTTTTTTATGACAGCCATTTTGTGGCCGTATATTCACTATATTCAGTCAAGTATCAATCTTAATATTCTGTGTAACTAGAGAATTATTCTGTAGCGTTGAAATAATATCCAACCAAATATAAAATATGTGTGAAATTCATACCTTCTGTTATTACGTATGGACTCAGTTAGATTAAATTTATTTGAACTTCTATATATGAAACAGAGTCAGGAGGCCCTATTTAAAAAAATCTTTTAGTGTGTTTTTAGTAGAGATCTTATTAGGGTTTGAACCTAGATCTTGTGTGCAGTTCTTCTAGTCATAAAATGAGACATAAAAATTTCCTCAAGACAAAACTAAACTCATGCTTAGACCCATTAAAAGTTTGCAACTCTTATTTTATTTCATTTGCAGATATACAATGCCATAAGTATATCTAAAGAATTTTTTATAAATTTTAAATTCGTTCAGTTTATACTGACACTCTTATCTATACTTGAATTAAAGAAAACAATATTGTGGTTTTAGTATTTATTTCTAAACAAAAAATTTGAAAAAAATATATAAGTGGTTTTACTTATAACAGAATTTAATCATCTCCGCTATCTTCGATGATGCGACAAATAATTGGAATATCTTGTACCTTGGTTGTATTACCAGACACAGCATCTTCCAGAACTCTACTGACGACTTCATTTTTAAACTTTCGCCACTCCTTTTCTCTTAAGAAGTCAATAAACAAATTTTCTCTTGATGGAATGCTAGTATTTAGATAAAAACGTCGTCTTTGCCAAATATTACCAGGATTTTGATTTGGTTCGAATAGCCAATAGCGTGGAACTAATAAACATTGTACTGTAGAACGAGCCATTATAACTCTATGCTGTAGCTTTTCACCTAAACCAAAAATACCTCCAAATAATAGTGAGCCTACATCGATAAAGCGACTCTCATATCTGATTTGTAATTCCTTACTTTCTTTCCCGCTTTTTTTAATAATTTTCTTTTTTTTTTTAGGAGTTTTCATAGCTGCGGCGGTAGCCAACAATTCACTTAGAATTTCACTTTCAGACTTTTCTTCAATATTT